GACACAAAATCACAAGATATGATGTGAAAGAATGAAAATAATGTCTTCAAGTCTTGCTATGACAATATTTTATTGGGAGGACCTACTTGTCTAAATCAAACTAGTATTCAGAAAACCTTTTATAAATAGAGGTAATCAACAACTGGGTCTTACTTGTGCCCCCTGACAAAGGTGCTATGTCAAAACTAGCAAAACCAGTCAAGAAGTGTTGGTATTGTCATTTTTCCCCTCACGCGAGAAGTTACTACAGATACAGAGTCAAATGTCATTGGGACTTGCGCAATACTGGAACAGCTGGATCTTTAGAGCACAGAACACCGTGCCTTTTGTGTTTTAGATTGAAGTCTGTTCTATTACATTTTAAATATTATGACAAAGAACTGATGTTTCAGAGGCAATCAGAAGTGAAACAAGTTGTTCACTGGGTAACAGAATATTCCAAACAGCATGGACAGACAGCTGTAGCCACACAGAATTTCAATTACAGCAACAGTTACAATAAAAAATCCATTAGCATTGTAAAGAATGTGCAAGTATTTTACCCAGCCACCATAAAATGAGTAATTATGGTATTTTTAATCAACATATGACCTCCTTACCTAGATTTATTTTGAGGTAAAGATCCTGAGATAACCTGAAAAACTTAATGGTATCAGCCCAACACAGGAATTAACCTGTAGTCTTGTTCTGCATTGCACTTTGTGTTTCAAATAGCTGATACATGTTACACATCACACATGAATACACAGCTTAACAAGGTAAACATGGACACTGCTTTCCTAGGTATGCTTTCTCTAGAAAAATTTCCAAGGTATGCTTTCTCCAGAGAAATTCTAGTGTATTTTATAGTTAAAGTGTGTAAGAAAGGAAATAATTTTTAAATTAAGATGAAATAGGAGAAGTCCCCTTCCCCACTTCCTTTTCCACACATACCTTGACTGCCCCATGCAGAAACTTTACCTTAAGAAACATTTTACAGACTCTGTTATTGGAGCTGAACTATAACTTTTGAAGTACAGGGGCACAGAAAGAAAATGAACTCCCCCATGTACATTGTGATCATAACATCATAAACAGAAAATTATTAATGCAATGCATTAATGCATTACATAAATAGGAATGAATTTCAAATTCTTCCAGTAAGTTAGAAGTTAAAAGTGCAGTCTAACTAAGCAGTAGTACTGTGCATTTTGGTTTAACGTTTCCCAGTGACTGTTTACCAAGAGTGTCCAGAATATAATTAAAACCTAAAACAACACTTTTAGATTCATTCTTTTTTGTAAATATTAAGTTCTATAAATGGCTTGGACTCAGCAGCATGCTGAGCTTTCTACCCCACTCATCTCTATCAGTTCCACTGACCAAATTATGCTTTTCATGAAAAGGAACAGAGTAGGTTATCACAGAATCACAGAATTTCTAGGTTGGAAGAGACCTCAAGATCATCGAGTCCAACCTCTGACCTAACCCTAAGAGTCCTCCACTAAACCATTTCGCTAAGTTCAACATCTAAACATCTTTTAAAGACCTCCAGGGATGGTGACTCCACCACTTCCCTGGGCAGCCCGTTCCAATGCCTCACAACCCTCTCAGTAAAGAAGTTCTTCCTAATATCCAACCTAAAACACCCCTAGTGCAACTGTAGCCCGTTCCCCCTTGTCCTGTCACCAGACACATGGGAGAATAGACCAACCTCCACCTTGCTACTGCCTCCTTTAATGTACTTATAAAGAGTGATAAGGTTGCCCCTGAGCCTCCTTTTCTCCAGGCTGAACAAACCCAGCTCCCTCAGCCGCTCCTCGTAGGACTTGTTCTCCAGACCCCTCGCCAGCTTCGTCGCCCTTCTCTGGACTCTTTCGAGCACCTCCATGTCCTTCCTGTAGTGAGGGGCCCAAAACTGAACACAGTACTTGAGGTGTGGTCTCACCAGAGCCAAGTACAGGGGGATGATCACTTCCCTAGACCTGCTGGCCACACTGCTTCTTATGCAAGCCAGGATGCTGTTGGCCTTCTTGGCCACCTGAGCACACTGCTGGCTCATATTCAGTCGACTATCCACCAATACTCCTAGGTCCTTCTCTGCCTGGCAGCTTTCCAACCATTCCTCTCCCAGCCTGTAGCTCTGCTTGGGGTTATTGCACCCCAGGTGCAGGACCCGGCACTTGGCCTTGTTGAACTTCATACAGCTGACCTCAGCCCATGGGTCCAGCCTATCCAGATCCTCCTGCAGAGCCTTCCTACCCTCAAGCAGATCGACACACGCACCTAACTTGGTGTCATCTGCAAAATTCCTGAGGGTGCACTCGATCCCCTCATCCAGATCATCAATAAAGATATTAAAGAGGACCGGCCCCAGTACCAAGCCCTGGGGAACGCCACTAGTGACCAGCCTCCAGCTGGATTTGACTCCATTCACCACGACTCTTTGGGCCTGGCTATCCAGCCAGTTTTTAACCCAATGAAGCGTACGCCAGTCCAGGCCATGAGCAGACAGTTTCTTGAGGAGAATGCTGTGGGAAACGGTGTCAAAAGCCTTGCTGAAGTCAAGGTAGACCACATCCACCGCCTTTCCCTCGTCCACCAAGTGCATCACTTTGTCGTAGAAGGAGATCAGGTTCGTCAAGCAGGACCTGTCTTTCATAAACCCATGCTGACTGGGCCTGATCACCTGGTTGCCCTGTAAGTGCCACATGATGACACTCAAGATAATCTGCTCCATGAGTTTCCCTGGCACTGAGGTCAAACTGACAGGCCTATAGTTTCCCGGGTCTGCCCTCCAGCCCTTCTTGTAGATGGGTGTCACGTTTGCTAGCCACCAGTTGACTGGGACCTCCCCAGATAGCCAGGACTGTTGATAAATGATAGAAAGCAGCTTGGCCAGCTCCTCTGCCAGTTCTCTCAGTATCCTCGGGTGGATCCCATCCGGCCCCGTCGACTTGCGTGCATCCAAGTGCCATAGCAGGTCGCCAACCATTTCTTCATGGATAGTGAGGGCCACATTCTGCTCCCCATCCCCTTCCACCAGTTCAGGGTACTAGGTATCCAGAGAGCAACTGGTTTTGCCGCTAAAGACTGAGGCAAAGAAGGCATTGAGCACCTCCGCCTTTTCCTCATCTTTCGCAACTAAGTTCCCCCCCGCATCCAGTAAAGGATGGAGATTCTCCTTAGTCCTCCATTTTGCATTAATGTATTTGTAGAAACATTTTTTGTTGTCTTTGGCAGCAGTAGCCAGATTGAGATGAGCTTTGGCCTTTCTAATTTTATCCCTGCACTGCCTCGCAACATCCTTATAGTCCTTCCAAGTGGCCCGCACTCTTTTCCAAAGATTGTAAACCCTCTTTTTCCTGCTAAGCTCAAGCCACAATTCTCTGTTCAGCCAGGCCGGTCTTCCTCCACGCCAGCTCGTCTTTGGGCACCTGGGGACAGACCTGCACCATTAAGATTTCCCTCTTGAAGAGTGCCCAGCCTTCCTGGACTCCTCTGCTCTTCAGAACCACCTCCCAAGGGACCCTACCAACCAGTGTCCTGAACAGTTCAAAGTCAGCCCTCTGGAAGTCCAATACAGCGGTTTTACTGGTCCCCTTCCTGGCTTCTCCAAGAATGGACAACTCTACCATTTCATGCTCACTCTGCCCAAGACAGTTTCCAACCACCATATCTCCCACCAGTCCTTTTCTGTTTGTGAAGAGAAGGTCTAGCGGGGCACCTCCCCTGGTAGGCTCACTAACCAGCTGTGTCAGGAAGCTATCTTCCATGCTCTCCAGAAACCTCCTAGACTGCGTTCTCTGGGCTGTGTTGTGCTTCCAGGATATGTCTGGGAAGCTGAAGTCCCCCACAAGAACAAGTGCTGACAATTTCACAACTTTTGTCAGCTGCCTGTAGAACTCCTCATCTGTCTCCTCATCCTGGTTCAGCGGTCTATAACAGACCCCCACCAGGATGCTTGCCTTGTTGGCCTTCCTGCTGATCCTAACCCATAAGGACTCAACCTTATCATTCCCAGCCTCAAGTTCCACAACATCAAAACTCTCTCTGATATAGAGAGCCACACCATCACCCCTTCCATGCTGCCTGTCCCTTCTGAAGAGCCTATAGCCAGACGTTGCAGCACTCCAGTCATGAGAGTGATCCCACCACGTTTCCGTGATAGCAACCAAGTCATAGCCTGCCTGCCGCACGATGGCTTCCAGCTCCTCCTGTTTGTTACCCATGCTGCGTGCATTAGTGTAAATGCACTTCAGTTGGGCCATTGCCTTCTCTCCCAGCCTTGCCATTGTTCCCCCTGGCACAGCTCTAACAAGCCTTGTTTCAGCCCCGTCCCCCTTCTCACCTAGTTTAAAGCCCTCTCAATGAGCCCCGCCAGCTCCTGGCCCAGGATCCGTTTTCCCCTTAGAGATAGGGACCCGTCTGCGGCCATCAGGCCGGATGCCGAGTAAAGTGCCCCACGGTCAAAAAAAAACAAAATTTCTGTGTTGGCACCAGCCTCTGAGCCACGTGTTTATCAGGTGGCCTTTCTGTGTCCTCTCTGTACCCCTCCCTGCCACCATAGGGATGGACGAAAACACCACCTGTACTCCCACTCCATCCAGTAACCATCCCAGTCCCCTAAAGTCCCATTTGATGGTCTTCAGGTTTCTCTCTTCAGTGTCATCACTGCCAGCCTGGACTATTAAAAGAGGGTAATAGTCAGAGGGGCGAACCAGGTTGGAAAGCTTTCTGGCAATGTCCCTGACCCTGGCCCCAGGGAGGCAGCAGACTTCCCTATGGATAGGGTCAGGCTGACAAATACGGCCCTCTGTTCCCCTGAGAAGGGAGTCGCCCACAACAATTGCCCTTCTTTCTGTCCTGGTGGAGGCAGTCCTGAGGTGTGGAGTCGACTTCCTCATCCTAGGCATCCTCCTGGGTAGACTTTCTACCTGTTCCTCAGCTACCGGTCTTTCAAGCTTCAGGGCCTCAAACCTGTTGCATAAGGGCAGCTGGGAAGGTGGGGCTGGTGGGGGAGGGCATCGCCTGCGATGTCGCGCAGGGACCTGTTTCCATTCCTCCTCAACTCCTAGGTCCTCTGCCTCTGCCCAACAGCAGCTTGGCAGGGGGTCCATCCCCATTTGGGGTGTCTTACCCTGGTGCCTGTCCTTCAGTTCCACAAGTCTATTTCCCACTCACACTCTCTGATATCCCTCAACCTCTCGACCTCCTCCTTGAGTTCTGCCACCAGGCGGATCAGGTTGTCCACCTGCTCGCACCTCACGCACACAGTCTCTTTGCCCCCCACAGGTGGTAGCAACAGGCTCAGGCACTCCCTGCACCCGGAAACCTGAACTGCTGCACTTTTGAGCAGGCAGTCGGTCTGGGTGTGTACAGACTTCCTGGAGAGCACACTGTGCCTGGTGTACACCATTGCAGCTGAGCTAGCGGTAGACCGCTGTTGGAGGAGGTGTTCGGATGCCGTGCTAACTGCTGTGCCACTCCCTTCTGACGCACCACGCCCTCTTTACCCATCCTGTTAACTGCACCCCACTCCCTTCCAACGCACCACACCCTGTTTGCCCATCCTGTTAACTGCCGTGCCACTCTCTTCTGACGCGCCACGCCCTGTTTGCCCGTCCTGTTAACTAGAGCGCCAACTGCCGTGCCACTCCCTTCTGATGCGCCACGCCCTGTTTGCCCGTCCTGGTCGCTCGCGCTCCCTAGGGGCAGCTTTTGAACGGCCGGGGAGGGGGCGCTGCTGGCTCCGCCTATGCCTCCTTCTCGCCTCGTTCACCTCCCTCACGAGGGCTCCCGGGTCCTGGGGGCTCGGTGCCGGAGAAATTAGCACTGCCTGTCCAATCCCCCGCTCTGCTGCGGAACGCGTCTGCCCCGGAGACAATTGCCTCAGTAAGTGGCAAGTTATGGTATGGTATGGACTGGATCCTAGGTCTCTTTTTAAAAATGCTTTAACAATACCATAACATCAAATCATCTCCCTAAGTCTTTTAAAACATGATATAATTTACTGTTCTGCTTGAAGTATTCCTCCGTCTGTGCTGTAGGATGCCTGGACAAACTGAAATGCAGTAGCAGAAGATGGCGCCAAAACCTCAGTAACAGAGGAAGGTAAGTGATGTGTAACAAGATCAGTGCTAGAAGAGTAATTAGCAGCAGAAAAATAAATAAATAAATAAAATAAAAAGGAAGAATGGTCCCTACCCAGGATTTAAAAAAAAAAAAATCAGCATTTGCTTGGGGTAGTGTAGAAAGTATGCAAAATGATTAGTTACGTTTTCTGGTGTTTATAGACATGCACTAAGATGTAATCAACGTGATTTTTCCTTAGCTCATTACAAAAAAAAAAAAAAAAAGCCTCATTTAAAAACTATTGCCATTGAAAGCTTAAAAATGGTTTGGCCCTGTAAAGTATAATCCATGTCCACCCCACACCCCACATTAAAAAAAAATAAATAAAAAAGCTGTAGTCTCATAAACTATATTAATCTATTTATTAATCTATTTAATACCTTATTTTCCTTCCTGATTTTAAGAAAGTCCAAAGCAAAAGCAACACGCTCTGATGAATATCTTACTGTAAACCATTATAGTGGATGTACAGATTTTTTTCTGAATAACCTTATGAGCCCTAAATGAGGTTATAGTTCTGAGGCTGTAATAGCAACCAAGATTTGAATGAGCTTACCTGAACTACTCTCTTAGCCTTCTAAGACAGATGGAAGAAGTAGAGAAATATGATTCATACTCCACAGCTTTCAAGAAGACTCTATATATTTTCATTGTAATATTTACATTAAAATAATAAATGAATTGGGTTTCTGATGATAAATAAGATAAATGTGAAGGCCAAATCATCAGCAGTTCCACAGCTTTTGGTGGAAAATGTATCTAGCTTAATTTTAAACAATAAGAGTATACTTAGTGTGATACTTGCAACACTAAAAACTAAAAACAATAATTTAATTTTAAACAGATTGCAACATAAAGCTAACTTATAGGGTTACAAAGAACACAGTCAAAGCTACATTCTGGTCCAGTACTTACACCAAGGGGAGATTATAACTTACAAAGCCACCACCATCACTAATGACGATACAAGAACTTGTATTCAGCTTTTATCAGTACATATTTCTTAAGTTGTTTTCATATTAACTTTGGTAAGAACAACACACAGAGCAAAGTGTACTTTACCTTCTTATCTCCCTGTTTTCGCCTTCGTAGCCCTGGTCTGTAATCATCTCCAAAGCGCAGAAAGTAATAATAAGAAACTAGTCGTTCTATAGGATCTCTTATGACATTTATGTAAATTGGTTTCTTTTTAACACCAAATCTAAAGTAAAAGAGGAAAAAAATGTCTTTTAAAGGTGAATCAAAGTTTCTCATCTAACACCTAAAAGCCTCTATCTATAAATACCTGTCTCTACTGAAGAAACATACAACTGAAATCTATATGCAGCGAAAATGAGAGGAAGTTTAATGATTCAACTCACCCCTATACCCAGTGCATGACATGGATGGGCAAGTCAGTTCAATTTCAGTTTTCTTAGTACAGTGGTTGATTATTTATTTAACAAAACAAACTAAACTAAAATATTCTCACACACCAGATACTACAAGTGTTTATACAATTACCCTGACTCTAGAAATGTCTCAATTATTCTAGCAGCTGCATATATGTTAATAATAAGCAGACAGGGCACTCAATATTGAATTCCTGTCTCCTACTACCACTGCCCTCCTAACCCACCCTGTGCAATGAGCACAGAGTTCTCCTCGCAGGGCTCCACTTATCAGCGACAAACGCTGACAGAAGGAAGAAAAAACTCTGAGCCCATCCGTTACCTGGGCTGATTACTTGGATGTATGGCTCTGCTTATTAAATAGGAGCCTAAGATAGTATCTGTAACCATACTGATTTCTCTATCACAGACAGAAAAATGTTTCCTCACACATCTACCTAAGCTAATTTTTACTTACTGTGATACAAGCTGGAAGCTTGATGAAATGAGTTCATAAGCTCATGGGACACATGAGGAAGATTTAAACCACCAAACCTTTTTTGTACAAATGCCATCTTTCAATAAAAACCACAAATATGAAACAATAAGCTGTTGTGGAAAAAAATTAATTGTTTGGATGAAAGAACAGCAATGTACACAAGGATAATGCAGTCCTAGAGGGAAGATGCAGATGAAGAGAGTCTGTGAAATTGCTTAGATGCTTTCTAGATATAATTATTTTAAAGACTTCTGGTATCTGAAAAAGTTTTCAGCTTCATGAAGTGAACAGGGTATAAAATGACATTCATTTTTGATTCATCTTTGCTGTTCCAGAAAGCTGTTATTCCAATAGGAGTTCAGTTCAGTGGTTTATTCATGTTTAACTTTTAAAGGCAGAAAGGAAGCTAATGAAATTTGATGCATTTTATTTTATTGGTAGATTTACCATTAAGACTTCTTGCCTAGTACTTTTTGTAAACTTCAAGCTTTTACTTGGTGCCATTGGAAATTTCCAGTCACTACTGTAGCTTTTAGCATTTTCTATTATCTAACCTACTGTACTGGGAAACCATGAAACTCTCACTTCCCCTTTTCATTCTCTATAATAAAAAGCTAGAATTAAAAGTTAGTGTACATAACAGAATGAAACATTGAAAGCAATGACTAAAAATTTTCTACATGGAAAAAAAAAGTCTTTTAATTAAATTACATTTTCTAGCACACAGAAATATATCATTACTCAGGACTGACCAGCAGCAAGACGTAAAGGTGCTATTGTTTGTGCAGCAGCAGAATACGCTCAGATCTAAAAAATCCATTTTCAATTTTAAGCCTTTTTCCTCATACTACAAGTCTGGGATGAAGCACTGCTAAGCAAAATTGAATTGCCAGTTGAAGGGGAGGTTTCACAAGACAAAGTTACTCAGGATCACAGCTTTAGATCCAGAAGCAAAAATAAGACAAGAATAGAAACATATGTGAGCAAGAATATAGATATGATCCTTCAACCTTTGAAGTCACCAGGAGGTGATTTATTTTAAATTCATTTTAGAAATAGCAGGATTAAACTCCACAAGAATTATTTCTATGCTTTTTACAGCATGTCAGATTACTATAGGCCAGAAAAAAAATGCTTAAAATATAGCTTAATATCTTGATAAAGTGTAAAGGGATACTCTGAAAGAGAATAACTACATAACTTAAGAAGGAGGTGGCATTACTTCATAGAAACATATTTTAGAACAGGTATCTAAAGCTTCTTGGAAAGGGAAGACAATCACTTAGGTAGAACTACCAACAAACTGACATTCAGCCAAGGAATACTAAACCTAGTATATAAATAGTTTTCAAATAAGATTTATCTGTGTTATCATGCAAAAAAACAATTGAAATCTGTGAAAATCAAACCAAATACTGCTCCTCCTAGGAATTTCAGCACTTGAATTTAAAAAACAGCAGATTTTCATCACTAGAGGGCAGTAATATCCCAGAAGGAGCCAAGCAACGTATTTAAACTACTATGCCACTCAACAGATAAATCCATGGGTAACATACTTTGCGAAGTCCAAATAAGATACGTGTCCATGGTAAAATCCTGGTTTCATTTCCTTCCAGGAAGTCACGTTCTTCACAAATCGAACCTGTAAAAGTAGACAGAGTGTTTCAGTACAGCTGGAACACACTAAGCTTTGCCTAACATGGTAGATTTTTTATTTTTATTTCTGTTTTTGTTCAAGTAAAATCTTACAATGCATTTGAAGGTTTTTTTTAATATTACCAAACAATTTGTGCAAACTAAAGTTAGACTTTTTGCAATCGTATAGATGACTATTTTTAGATCATCACAATTTAATGATCTGAAGCTAACGAAAAGCAGAATACAGCAAGCAGAAGAGAAATCCAACAAAAGCTACCACAACAACATTAACAATGCATACATGTAATTTTTGTTGGTGAATCCTATTTGTAATTTGAAAGGAATCCAGAATTTTCTTGACTTTAAGTAGAAATGCAAGTATACCTTTGATGGAATTGTTTGGCCTGTATTCCATTCTTCAAATAAAAGCATACCAGACTTACAAGCATATTCTTAGACCTATTTTACTGGGATATAAAAAACAAATCCAATGGTTCATTTGGCCCCCTCCCAAAATGCAATGCATGAGTAATCCAGAAATTTTGTAAATTTATAAAGTGTAAATTAGATTTACAGTTTATGACCTTGAACGGTTACCATAAGTCTAACATCTCAGTGAAACTTCCAAGTTAAAGCATGAATTAGGCCTTAAACAAAGGCTGAGAAAAGAGGTACCAGCAAACTTCACAGTAACTAGGAACAGTTTTGCATTTCAAAGATAAAAACAAAATAAGATACATGCCCCAAAACAGAAAGTATGATTAAATTAAGTGGGGCATGTAGCTTGCCTTTATTAGGTAAGAAGAATATTTTAACATCAAAGAATTTAGCTCTGAAAATTATTTCAAAACTAGTGAATTGGATAATAAAGAAAAGATGATAAATTTGTACTGCCTGGGTTGTAGTACAATGCTACACCATTTCTGACAGTAAGAATTAGAAGACAGATGTGTATTTCCTGCAAACCTATAGTATCTTTTTTGTTATACAGTGACATAGATAAGCACAAAGATACTCAGTTGAGACGAAAGAGTCACAAAATGAAAGTTTGACAGCTCACAACAACATGTTAACATTCTCTGCAAGCTGTAACAGTGCCTTGAAACATGAAATAAAGCACTGACCAATGAAGATTTTAAGAGGGAATACTGGCCTGTTACTGCTTCCTCACACTTGGTAATTTACCTTTTTTCCCTCAAACACTGGCTCTTGGACTCAGGTAAGATAAATGGGTATCACTTTTTCCTAACAGGCAGTGCTCATGCACAGATTTTTTTTAGTGCACAGATTTCACAGTCTTAGGCATTTTGCAATTTAAACCATATATTGCATAGGAAAATGGTGCAAGTTTATCTGAAAAGCTCCGCTTGATGTTATATAATGGCATTTCATAAATTGCACTGGTTTTCTGCCTCGTTTTGTCTACAGCACAAAGTATAATGTATCTATATGACTTTGAATCCAGTCAGACTACTTATGCTACTACTGAAACAAACCCAACTTCCATTGACTGTACCTTTTTTTAGATAAATGACAAAATATTTTCAGTGGGGAGCCTCAGCTCTGAGTATTTCTATACCTAGGAAAGAAGTTTCTTAAATGCAGAGTACACGTTATCCTCCCTCCCTTCACCCCCAAGCCCCCAAATGCTACAGCTGGTTGATACAACTCTCCAAGATAACCAGCTATGCTACCTATTTTGTATAATCCAGCATGCAAATAAAGCTTAGATTTGAATTACACTTCCATTGGCAAGTTTTCTGATGCACCAGCTAGATTTATGTTTGTACTAGACTAGGCCTAGACACAGGAAAATGTTAACTGCAAATTCCCAAGGGTCAGTTCTGTCAGTCTCTGTCAGACCTCCATAACACCATCTGCCTTCTCACCTGAAATGTACCAGTAACAGTTTTTTCAGAATAAATAGATAAATAAATAAAAAGGGGGTTGTCTTACAATTACTTTGCTAATAATTTTTTTTATGAACACAGGGTTATTATAGAAGAAACTACATTTTATGCTGTATACCAGAGACCCGACTGGATGTTCTAGCCTTTTATTAGCTTTAACACTAACACCAGGGAAGCTAAGAAGGTTTTATATGACATTTACATCTGCCTTAAGATATTGTTCAGCAACACACTGTGCCCATGAGAATACAAGTTTTTAACACCTCTATCTAGCTTGCAGGCAAGAGATTTTTTCTCCCTTTCCCATGATTTGCAGCATTGCAAAAATTAGAAGCATTCCAGGTCCCAGATAGCCTAATGAGTCTGTATTCACATATTTTTAGGGCAGAGAAGAATACTCTTTGCTGATTCTTACTGTCAGACATGATCAATTTTATTTTTCTTTTCAGGGCTTAGCAGATACTGGAGCTTTCAAGAGACCAGGCAAGCTTCTCAACTTGAATCCAACTGAAAAAAATTTGAGGTTACTTTAAAAGTAACCTCAGATAGAAGCGAATGGAATTCCTGTGAAGTTGTTTCATGGTGCTTTTATATAATCAGCTACAAAGTTGCTCCATAGCCTTTAGTAAGTGAGAAATCAGCTGAGTTTCACTGAATTAAAAAGTCAGATCAAACGTACTCTGGGGGCGTAAGATGTCCTGAAAGGTAAGTTAAATGCATTCAGTTTCTAGGACGATAAGAATTTTAAGCAAGTATCAGTGAGCTGAAAGAAAAAAAAAAAAGAAGGAAAAAAAAAAACACACCTCAGCATATACTTGGTCTGAGGAACACGTCCAGAGGAATCTATGCATGCAAACCAGTATTCTGGTCATTATCCCATGGCCCAGCATCATGTGGATGTTTGCACACTGAATTCCCCAGCTTTACATCTTTTTATAGATCTGTCAATTACTAAATAACTGAATGGATATTACAAGTAGATGGGGGTATGATTACCAGAAGCCTGAGAATTTTCCATTTGACCTGGAAGAAGAAAGCTCTCAAGGGAGACTGCACACGAACACAGTGTCACCATTACAAGAAACACCAGATTCAGATTTCAAGACCTTCCATAGGGAGGCACTGGTAGCTTAGCTATCCAAGTTGTCATACAGGCTGATAACTTGCAGCTACCTCCAGATTAGAGGACCAGGACCGCTGGAAACCAGCTAGCAGCACAGGTTTGGCTGAATGCCATGAGAAACAACAAGCAAGCTCAAGGCAAGGGCAGCTGAGAAGCAAGTTTGTGAGATGAAGAAATGGGAGTTCACCAATCCAGCCACAGTAAAGCCAGAATATTTGCCTGGCATGAGCAGCTCTTCCTCAGAAGAAAAAAATAGAAGAAAATACAAAGAAAATAGAAGGAAATGGCCCATGCGGAGTAGTGGGCATTAGTATGCACTTGGCCATCTAACTTGGAGAGAAAAGTTCCTAAATGTTCAGCACCAGATGATGACACTGTCCCTGCTATCTGACTCACTGCAACCTTTCTGTTGTTCCACTTCTGATGGTCGTTGAAACCATCACCAGTAGAGGAAATACATATTACTAAAGTCAGTATGAGACTGGTATCCTCTGAGAGGTCACTGTTTTAGAATACATTAGGAAGAAAGATTATATGCTTTCAGCTGTCTTTTTTTTGAGGAAAATGGGGAGAGAAACTGCAGGAGATATAAGAACAAACTACAAACAGCAAGTTGAGGTAGTGAAATGCGGGATAATCATACCACATTTTCTGTATGTTCACAACAAAAATACAAAATATGTACTCATACCCTCTTTTTTCTAATAATATATCAAGAATACATGCTGAAAGATAGCAATTTAGGACACTTCATGGACAGTTCCTCCATGTAACAAAAAAAGCTAAAGTCTGTGTGGCTGGTATGCCATCCAGTTAGGCATAACAAAGACATACTTGTATGGGCAAAACACATCAGTACTGAAACATGCAAGCAACAAATAAATTCCAATCAAATGTTTTCTCCATTTTAATGAAGGCAAGAGTTTTTGTTACAGACCACAGAGGTCTGAAATGCAACACGGTAAACGTGGCACTGAGCTCGCTACAAATAAAAGGCCCAACCTGTGGAAAGAGGGGAAGTTTCCAGGATCCTACTTTCAGGCAAGCTGCAAAAGAGAGCAGGGCAGCTGGGAAAAAATCCATCTGAAACTAAAATGGATGTGTTAGGGACTCTTACGGGATTATCTCAAAGCAGCTACAGTTTATATTTGGAGTGGATTTTAAGTAGCTTTTTTTCCCAGATTGCGTTCAAGAAGTAAAGGTTTCACAGATGGGCAGAGAACTTAAAATCTGTAACAGAATTAGAATAGTTTGGAAAAAGTACAGCAGAAATAGTATATACCAGAGGGCTTACTATTTTACTGATTTATTTATGTCAGCCTAAGACAACCTTCACCTTGCTCAGGGAGGTGTCATTTTGTTTTTTGTTTTGTTTTTTTTTAACAGAAAGTATCGCTGATAAGGACAAATTTGCCTTTGTGATGTGTTCATGTATATTGCTGATGGTATATATACAGCTAATGCACTCAACTCAGTGGGACTGGTGAAGGCGGCATGTGAATATGTCATCCATATCCAAGCCCACAAGGAGCAAGCACACAACAGCTACTACTCAGCACCTTTGACATCTCCAGAATTGTGTGTTATGTCTTGCAATGGGAAGTTGTTAATCATATACACAACATATTTCAATATGCTAAAGAAATATTTTTCTTTGAAGAACTATGTAATATGTAAAGCTTTTCATTGTTAGCATCTCCCAGTTAATGACCACTGAAGAAGAGGGGTATCAACTGTCTAATTAAACAACATGAATCATCACCAATTTGGACAATAGCACAGTATCAAATTAATTTAGAACTGCCAGTACCGTATACATGCCCAGCATTGAATGGATTTAATTATTCACAGAAACAGAAACTGCGGTTGGAAGTGCAATGCTAAGTGTGATTGACTTGAGCAGGAATTTTCGATTAAAAGATACAGGCTTGTTAAATCTTTTGGAATTCTCCCTGCTCTTGGTGCACAGAACTTCAGTATTTTTTCTATGCAGTGGACAAGACTACAGGGATGACTACCAGATTTACTCTTAATCTCAGTAATCATGTATCACAGTACCACCTGCGTATTTTAGGACATATTTCACAACAGCAAGAACCCAACAGTGACATGACCTCGCTTCCACGAAACAGGTCTCCAGTCCCACCCCAAGCACACTCTATGTCCTGGATGCTGAGATTCTGACCTCAATCTTTCTCTCACATACAGAACTGAGACTGAAGGGCCCAATACCATCTGCTTCCTCCTCCTCCAGACTACAGCAGCTGCGCTGAGCTGCTCCTGCCTGTAGGCATGCACTTAAAGGAGCTGGAAGCCTCCGTGCTGATATGCTGCAATGCAGAACAGCTCCTGCTGCTGCTGCATATCAGCTTCAGATGATCAGCATACAACCAGTAGTACATACTGAGAGTTTGGCAACATTTACTTTATGGACAGGGATGAGGACATAATGTTGTTTCAGACCACTGACTTAGGTTCCCTGAATCTGCACTCATTACAAGCAGGAAAATAATTATAAAAAAACACACCACACACACAAAATAAAACTTCTTTCCCTCCCCCAAAGAAAAAAACAGCAGACTGTCATGAGTTTAGTTAAGAGCTCAAAGTGGATGCAAAACAACCCACTTACAGTGGCTCCTTACAGCCACTTCTTTCTACCTGTTTTTCATCACCTGTGAGCCCTGAGCAAAGACGGCAGCACAGCCCTGACAGCACAGCACTTGTACTACACAGAGAGAAGAGCACTTAAGACTGCATTCACTGCAGATGGAGATAATAGGGAAGTATTATTACAAGGCCAAAAGGCAAACCATTGACAGTACAATAAACCACTACACACAATTATAACAAAGGTCATTACTGCCTTAGCCATGTCCCTTTTACCTTAGTTTTTCTCCTGAGAAGAGGTACTTACCACCTCCAGTAGCACAGCAAAAACCTAAACCTATTATTTAATAAGTATTATTTTCAACAAAGAAAATATAAACATATTAAAATTCATTTATACGGGAAAATGCGACACAGAAGCCAACTCTTTCAGATGACAAATGGGTAAAACAGCAAAAAAAGTTTTCTGCGCTCTCTCCTTGTTTAATAAAAACATCCCAAATGCAGCATCTTACCTGATCTTGCAGAGACATAACAGGATTATTTTTGGTTGTATTGATATGTAGAACGTGATATTTGTTCTTTGCACAAAGATCATAGGCAATATTTGTGAAGGATGTGCTGGCAGTCTTAGGTACTCTGTTGTAAATAATCACCACATCATCTTCTTCATCCAGTGTCACATCTTGTCGGGAGCCATCTGCTGTATGACGTTGCTCTATTTCTCTGACTTCATGTCTTGCAATAGCCCTTTCTGTTAAGGATGACAAATACAAGATTTCAATGTAAAGACTGCCAATTTTGAAGTTCAAACCTTGGAATGCAAATAACCTGGTGAAGAGCAATACTGCCTCAGCAATAAACACTTGCTGTTATACATATTTCTGACATATAAAGCAAAAAAGACTATAAAATGTACAAATGATAAAAGGTGACTTAGTCTGACAAAGACTAGAAAACAGTATGCTTGGGGAACATATACCATATTCTATGACTCATGTAAATGCTACTGAACATTTCCTTTAAGGAAAAGTATCTATTATGTGCTATGAAAATGGTGACATTTTGTCACAATGGTGAAGAAGTATCTCAAATAATTTCTATAAAATATCTACTATTTAAAAACTATAATAAAAGAGATATCTCAAGCAACCTGGAGAATATGGATTTTCCCAAACCAGTAGAATTACTAACTCTATAGAGGCACTGGAATTCAGATGAAGCCAACATTTTTGATAGACTAGTTAACACAAGACCCAAGTGCAAAGCATTACAATCCAATAACCGATTTTGCAAAAATTCCATTGGATTTATTGATTTCAAGTTCAACAAGAATATAAGTGATAGATGCTTACAAATCAGTGAACATGAAACAGAAAAGTGATCTCTCAGTACTGAAATTCATTCAATATATAAAACGGAGGAGACGTGGAAAAAGCAAGCTATGGACAACATTTTGGCAAGGTGAGTACATGACAAACCATTTTTCCTTTTATACAAAGGGCAACACTGAGTAACTGAACGCTGCTTCAAGTGCTAACGGCCTATTTGTAAAATGAGTATCAGACTATCATGGCGTTTTTTCTGCTACTGAATATTAAATGCTTTATACTGATTCAGACATAGATTTGTTCTGTCCTAGATAAGTATATACTTTAATACAATTTGTTATACACATATCAAAGCATCTTTTCTTATTCACTTACTGTGATACTGTCTTTAATAATATATTCAAGTAAATCTTTGATGGCCAACAGCGCACACTGAAGTCAATACTATAAGAGTAACCTGTAATTCTCTGTATTATGTTCTTACGCAGGATGATACTTAGCAGCAAAGCTGTTGGCCTCTACCTCCCTTGCTTCCAATAACTCAGTTCCTTGTATTTTCTTTCACCACATCTCTTTAATTATAACATAAAATCACTTTAAAACAGAATCATTAAGCTGTGAATACCACTAGCCTGTAATTCCACATAAGTTGTCTTCAACCACAAACTTCCATCTGTCTGAAACATTTCAAAGCTTAAACTTTCTCTCTCATATGCTCACATCTCACACCCCATAACTAAGTTACATCAGTATGAAAATGTTTGTAGAAAATGCTTATTGAGTGTATCTCAATTTTCCACATGACATCTGCTGCTCCCCACTACATCAGTCACAGTTTTTACTCCTTCCTTTCTCATTTGATACCTCTCTCATCACTGCTGGCAAACCTCTGATTTCGGAAAGATGAGGCAACAGACTCAGGTTTCATCTAACTGAAGGTGGCTACAAGAAGAAGTGACTGGCAACTCTTCTTCCTGCCAGTAACTGAGCAGAGGAAGCATTTGGTATGGGACACACATGGCTGCATGGCTGCTCAAGGCTACACAGATACTAAATGCCACCTAGAGAGGCTGAAATGGAACATTTCATTTGCATTTCTACACCAGAGTCGTACATCTCAGCTAGATTTGAATGATGATTGCACAGAACTGCACGTGGCTGCACGGTACCACAAGAAACTTCCAATTTATATGCAGTAAGCTTTATGTATATAAAAGTAAAAAGGCACAAGAAATGGACAGGATTTTCAAAAAGAGTGATGAGAAATATTCTTCTATTGAGATATTTGAAACCATGATGATTCAAGCATTAGTGTGAGAAGTGAACTGTAAAGGCTATGTGTAGGATACAAAAGACATGATTAAATGCAAACAGCAGAAAGGCTGCTGCATACAATCATCTTAAAGCCGGTATGGTGTGAGGGGAAAACAAGAACCTATGCAAGGAGAACTTCCATAAATACAAAGTACACAGTGCTATTATCAAAGAACACGTAAGACTTAAGCTTCAAACTAACATGAAAAATAATTTTTATGACAACGAATTGAAATCAGTATGTTTTAACAATTTTTTACATATGAAAAACAAAGAGGAAGAATCATAGAATATCCTGAGTTGGAAGGGACCCTTAAGGATCATCTGGAAGAAGATGCTAGCTATTTATTGAATATACTTGACTTTACTAGAAATCTCTTTAGATGACAACCATGGAAATTTAATTTTCATTTTGAGAACTTTTCTACACAGGATTGGACTGATTTCACTGAAATCAGTTTAAAAAGTCAGGTTTTTATTTCCTATCAGAAACCCCATGGACAAAATGATGTTCTACAGACTCACTGTTTTCATTGCATTCTATTTAAACCCGATTTTATAAGAAAAGTGGTTTGCAAAATTATTAAGAGATGTCTAAACTGGCTTAAGACTGTTCACACTAAGCAGCATTTAAGCAAGTGGTATTTTGAATAGATTTTCATGGTAATATAATGCATGATAATTTAAAGTTAGAAAATATTCTCTCACTTTTTTTTTTTTTTAATTACTGCCCCTTTAGGTTCATTGATTAATATCATTTTTATACAGTGTGGAAAAATGTTGTTCTGTCATGTGTTGTCTTACATGCAAACTTTCATCAATTTCTAAGTCAGTTTGCACGCAGGCAGTACCATAC